ATTTTTGCCACAAGTAATAATAATGACGACAACAACAACAACAACAAAAATAATAATAATAATAATAATAATGATAATAATAGGCCTATTTTTACATACATGTCAGAGAGTTTTGCAGTGTTACTGTAAACTCTTTGACACATTCTGCTCTGCGGCTGGGATAATTTTGGCGGGGAGCGAAAACGTGCTCCACGACTGCCTGACAGTGTCGCAAAATGTACCCGAACACCGTTTGCCCTTTGCTTTGGCACTGCAACCTTTGACCCCTGCAGTCTGCCTGCAGATGATGACTGATGGATGAGACGAGCGACTGACGGCTTCTACTGTTGATACAACGACAACATTCTCAAGTCTCAAACCTTCTGGGAATTTTGAAAATTAGATCTAGAATCTAGCTTTCCACAAGGTAACATTTGATTGAAAAAGATTGGATTAGCAGAGGTGAAAGTAGAGTTTTGTTTTATCGGACGAGGAAGATCTTATACACTGGCACAGACCTCTTGTCAAGTGGGAAATGGTGGTCCAGAGTCTAGTTTTTTAAGATCCTGTCAAATCTGTGACGGGTCCTCTGTTTTCAGTGTCATAGAGAGAACTCTGACCTGCTCTAGTACTGCTTTAACACTTTTCACCCTAGATCTAGGCTAGACCTGTATCTTGGCGAAAACACCCCAACCATTAGGCTAAGTCATTAGGTGACATTTTCTGCATGCTAAGAAAACTGAAAGTGATGATTGCATGTTCACCAAAATAGGAATTAGATCTAGAAATCTAGATCTAGATATCTAGATCTAGATCTAGATTAGAATCGGAACGGAAAACATTAGATCTAGATTCTATATCTAGATTCTAGAATCTAGTTCATTCATCAACCGAATTCTCATCATGGCGTAAAGAGTAAAACAGCTCTCATGATAGGTCTACTTGACATTTAAAAAAAATTACTCCAATTGTTGTGTATACAAACTGATTTTCCACCTCAAAGGCCACTCAAACTATTCAGAAAAAAAATCTTACTGTAACAAGTGCATTATGTCCAAAACGAGATCATTACTGATACGTTTTTATTGATATATCACACTATCGCCGAATGGCGTCCCGTGGGGAAAAGGGACACCTTCTTATCGTCGCCGCCTTCCGTGGGGGCAAACACTATGATCCTGTGAAATGTGTGATGATAGATGGGTCCTCTGTTTTCTGTGGCGTGGTCACTATGAAAGAGAACTCTGCCCTGCCCTAGTACTGCTTTAAAATACTGTAAAGTCTGTGTTGTAACTATAGATGAGTCTCCTCTGTTTTCAGCGGCATCTTCACCATGGGAGAGAAGTCTGACCTCGGGAAAAAACGTATGCTGCTGTTGCTGCTGCTGTTTGCGGTGCTGCTGGCGTTTGTGTACGTGTACGTGGTGGAGATTGTGACGGTGGTCGTTGTTCTGTTTGTCTCCTGGCTGGCTTACGACTACATACACGACTACACGAGGGAGAGCGTGGAGCCTGCGGGCAGATACGTCTTTATCACCGGATGTGATACTGGTATGTCATGGTGTTGTGACAGG